CAAAAAAAACAACCAGCAAACTATTATTTTATCACTGTGTAAGAGTGACTGGTTAAGTAGAATTTTGTGTCCTAAAACACAAGGATTCAAACATCTTGTGTTTGTAAACTGTAACAGTGCGGTCATCTTCAGGGGCAAGTAATTGACCCTAGGCTACCTTAGGGACTGCATAGGGACTGGCCTGTGGGCCAGAACACCTCCCAGTAGGTAAGAACCCGCCCTCTCCCTCTCTCCCCTCCCCCACCTGTTAGGCCTGGGTGAGAGCTAGAGTTACCAGGTGGACTCAGTCGGCAGGGACAGCTTTTGCAAGGCTTTTCTCCAGGTCCATCCCTGCTCTGGGCTTCCCAGGTGAGCAGGCATACAACTCCTGCACAAGGGCAATCTGTTCATACCTGGCCTGGGAGGTAGGGTGTGGCAGTCTGAAGTACAAGGCCTGGGGCTCTTCCCTTCCAGGGAAGTCCAGGCTGTGTGCCTGTCTTCCCAGGTCCCCCCGTGTCAGGTGGGAAAGCTGGGGTTCAGAAAGGCCTTCTGAGAGGCCCAGCCTTTCCTGAAGACTCCTGACCACGCCGGTGGAGGGGGGGGGCACGACTGAAGTCAAGCCCGTGAGTTCTGCCTTGATTTCTGCCTCACGGAGTGAACTCGGGCTGGCTCCTTTCTCCCGTGAACCTGGGGATCTCACGCCTTCAAAAGGAAGCGAGCTCAAGAACCGCCAGGCTGTCCCGTGGTGAGAGGACCGCGGGGCCCAAACGAGCCGCACAGTCCCAAGTGACCGGGCCCGTGGGCCTACAAGTCCCAGCATGCCTCTCGAAAGAGGCGGGACACGATGATTGACAGGCTGTGTTTGCTAATCAGCGCCCGGAGGGGTGGAGTGGGGGGGCGAGGTGGCGCAGGCGCAGAGGGCTTCGGGCGGGTGGGCTGGAAGCAGTGGACGCGTTGGAGCTGCGGGCGGTCAGGTAGGGGGCGGGAAGGAGGGTCCGCGATCTGGGGTCCGGGCCAGGGTTACTGGCCGTTGTTTGAGCTGCAGGGCGGAGGGAACCCATGCCTGATGGCAGGGTCTGAGATCCAGATGGCTGGGGCAGGACTCGGGTGGAGGGTGGGCCCTGAAAGGCAGGCCGGGTGGGGGGGCATTCTGTGGGGAGGGGTGGGGGTGCAGCCGGGGGAGCCGAGCGAGGGCCTCTGACGGGATTCGCAGTGGCAGCACCTCGGGAGGTATGAGGTAATATGGGGGCCACGAGGAGAGACGGGGTGCAGCATCTGGGGACGGGAGGGATTCAGAGGTCCCTGCAGGGATCTGGGTTCAGAATGTCAGGAATAGGTAAGAATCTGGGGTGTGGGGGGGAAGAGGGGTCCCTGGATAAGATTTGCGGGGTGTGTGTGGGGGATCTTGGGGCCGCAAGCTCTGAGGTAAAAGGGAACCAGGGTCCTAATTGCTAAAGAGAGAGACATTTCCGGGTGGAATGTGGGAGAAATGGAGGGATTGACTGGCTGGGGCAATGGGTGGTCAGCAAAAAAGAAAGCAGCAGCTCAGGTGAGCTGGGTGAGAGGAGAGAGCAGGGATTCGGGGAGGGGGCAGGTGGCACAGTGTAGGAGATGGGGACTCAGGCTGCAGGAGGGCAGAAATCTGAGGTGTGGGATCCAAGTGCCGAGCCCCGGGATGCAGGGTTGAATGAAGGCTGCAGAGATTTGGAAACAGGGATTAAAGGATAGGTCAGGGATTTGGGGCACGTGCGTGAATAATGTAATTGGTGAGGGTTGCAAGGTTGCAAAATACAGCCTAAAGGTTGAAATTCTGTTTGGGAGCCGGGTATGGAGAGGACTGAATGGTGGTTGGGGTGGGGCTGTGGAATACGTCTGTGGAGTCGTGTTTTAGACTACGCAAGGGATTTTCTTCAAGTCTGTGCATAGGATCCCCAGGGAGTTCTGGAGACACCAAGGACTTACAAGTCAACTATGAATAAAACGATAGATAGTGCAGGAAGTTTAGAAGAACTCAGAGGCTTAGGAATAAAGGCACAAGTCTCCAGCGCTGGAGATGGAATGTGATCATTCCTTGTAAGGGGCAGAGCCTTCTTCACTGAAGACTTCTTATTTTTAATTTGGCATGGTAATGCCACTCTGACCTTCACACACTCTCCTCCTTGTCCTCCTAAACCAGTAGCTTTGAGGAAGAAGAGAGAGTGGGGTGAGGAAGGAAAGTAAGAAAAAATTCAAGGTCCTACGCTTATCCCTCCCTTTCTTGGTTCTGTGACAGCAGATGCAGGAGACCTCCAGGAATGAGGGAAATATTCAAGCCTGAATTGATCTCATACAAGATCAAGTGTATCTCCCAGGCTGTGGCTCTGAATGAGGGAGACAGATATCATACGTGGGGTGGGAGGAGGGATAGCTCATACTTAGCTCTGTGCCTCCGTCTTATTCAAGAGTGATTTTGTCCTCCCAGGGCATATTTGACAATGTCTGGAAGGTTTTTAGTTATCACACTTGCGACCACTGCTTTCTAGTGGGTAGATGTCAGGAATACTGTTAAACATCTTACAATGTCCCCGCAGCAAAACATTGTCTGACCCCTATTGTCAATAGTGCCAAAGTTGAGGGACCTTGCTCCACAGTCCAGTATTAGGGGTTCAGATCCTGGCTCTGTCTCTTCCTGACTTCGCGATTCTGTGAATGAGTTACTTAACTCATTCCCAGTGCCTGGACACTTTTACAAAATGAGGTTTAGTGACAGAACCTACGTCATAGGAGTTTTGTGAAGATTCAGTGAAATAAATCAGAATGCCTACTGTTCAGTCCATAGTGCTCAAAATTGAATATCTTCTGTAAACATCTGTTTTCTCAGTTTTCTTAACAGTTCTTTTAAGAAGGTTCTATGATATGCACTTTTACACATGATGAAATTACGACTTAGGAAATGATGTCGAAGTTTCCTGGAAATGTCAGAGTTATGTTCACCTCCAGAACTCTATAGCTGTGTATTTCCTTGCTCTGCAGTGACCAGCTTAGTCTTATTTTCTCAGCCTATTCCTAATGAAAAAGGATCTCCCACTACTATTTAATATCAAATTGAACTAAAAAGTAGGGGGATCTGTCTTTCTAAAGAGGTAGGGAGGAAATGTGCTTTGTTCTTTGTTCATAGATCAAGAATGATGGATAGTTGAGTGGAAGAGCTGAGAAGGTTCAAGAAACTACAAGGTGAGGTATGGAGCGCACTGACTTGAAAGAAGAACCTCATAGTAGGGCGGAGGGAGAAGGTTACTGCTCCGGTCTCTCGGACATCTTCCTCTGGGACAGAATAGTAGCATTGTCTCTGTCTGCTCCAACATTGAGAAACAAAGCTGGACTAGACCCGAGGGCCAGGGACTTTTAAGAGGCAGTCCCTTAGGAAAATATGTACTAGGAATTAAGTCAGCCTTGTAGTCAGAGACTCAGAGTCCATACTCTTTACTGTTACTGTCTGTGTGACCCTCAGTCAAGCATTTGTCCTGTCAGCCTCTATTTTTTTTTTTTTTGCCAGTCTTGGGGCTTGAACTCATGGCCTGGGCACTGTCCCTGAGCTTCTTTTGCTCAAGGCTAGCACTCTACCACGTGAGCCATGGCTCCACTTCAGGCTTTTTCTGTTTATGTGGAACTGAGGAATCGAATCCCAGGCTTCATGCATGTTAGGTGAGCACTCTATCACTAAGCCATGTTCACAGGCAGCCTCTCTTGATAAAAAAAACACAAGGAACTATATCTGTTGCGTGCTTATTAAGGTATAGCATCTCAGCAAATGCTAACATCCATCTGGCTGACAAGCTAAATACAATTCCTCATTTTACCAGTGGGAAACCTAATAAGTTACATGGCTTGTTTTAGTCTATGATAGCAGGTGGCTCAACAGGGGTGCAAAGTCAGTTCAATGTGATTCCTAAGTTCCATTAAACTTGTTTCAACAGAGTAACTTTCCCAACACCAAAGAGCTCCTGTACCTGTACCTAGAGCATGGTTTGAAGCCAAGAGTTTATAAGGCTCCTGAAGTGAATCAGCCTGGGCACACTATGATTTGCCTTTATGGCACTCATTGCATGAAGTCTTCCTGGTAAAACTGTCGGATTTAAAAATCATTCCTGGGTGCTTTTACCAACCTGTTAGCCAGACTTGTCCTGGAGATGATAGCCAAATTAGCTGGATCTAGACATTTTTGAGTGACTATGGTTTTCTGACCGGGACTTTACATATGGATACTCTACTGATCAGCTTTGAGCCTTGAACTAGTTACTTTTCTGTTTATGGATTTCCTAATTTACAACAAAAAAAGAGGACATTCTTCATGAAAATCTGAGAGAAAAGAGTGATGTGAAAAAGGTACCTGTCACTTAATAAATAATTGCCATTTTCTGAGAAGTAGCAATTATGAGACAAAAATTCATCCTCACTAGAAGGAATCCAAGTGTTCTGGCAGATTTTAATGATACCAGGTTGTGTTTTCTGTTCTTTCCAAATTTCTATCCCTCTTACTGATCCTTTAATTCAAACAAACAAATTAAAAAAACAACTCATGATTAAATAAGCACATATTATATCCAGAAGGAAGAACTCTAAGAGTTGAGTGGGGTGAGTGGAACAGCCTTGAGAAAAGGCAGATAATTTTTCCCTTATCTTGCATTCTTTGATTTCTACTGGTAGCATAGGTCTTTGGGTATTATGCTAAACTGGATGTTTCTGAAAGGGAACCTTGTTTGCGTGTCTGTGCTAGGGATTGCAATCCAGGGCCTCCTGAGCCAAAACCTAGCCAAGGAAACTTTTTAGCTCACTCTTTAAGTTTTTGAAAAGGACATGTACCTATTTTCCCAACAAACCCTGTTACTGATTTAACCTAACCTTGACTTAGCAAAAGTTCCTTTTCCATATACAACTTTGTGTGTGTGTGTGTGTGTGTGTGTTTATGTGTCTTTTTGTTGTTTATTTTTTTAGGTGTCCCTCACACGGCTACAACTTTTGAGGCTTGTCTGTAGCTGCCTGTTAATCTTAGTTGCCTGCAGTTGCTGTAAATTCCCCAAACTGACATCTCATCTGAATCTCATCAAAATTCTACAGGCTTGGGTGAGTATCATGTGGTACCTTGACTTCCTGAAAATCAGACTAGTTAGTGTAGTGGGTGATCTCTGTGCAGGAGAGATTATCCATTCGCTAGCAATCTGTTAAATGCCTAAGGACTAAATATACTTTAAAAACGTTGATGTGTGATAAACCTTGCAAAAAACAAACAGACAAAACAATAACAACAACAAAACCCTCAGTCAAACCAGGAGAACATCTTCATAGTAAAATGGATCTTTATGTCTTAGGAAAGGAAATATATTTTACATGTTATCTAGCTTTTAGGTGTAAGTTCTGCTTGTCCAAATTGAATCTCTTGTAAATGCTCAGGAAAGATTTGTTTAAGTTTCTCCAGTTTTGCCCAAGTCCTAAGCCACAAAGGAATGCTTCTGGATAAAGAGAGGCATCTGGAGAACTGATTTATGATAGAGACATATGTATTGGATGAGAAATGGAAATCTCAGGTCAACTCATAACTAGATTCTGAGATCAGATAGAAATCTTCAAGAAGGCTCAGAATGTTGTTATTATTTAGATAGCCCATCCGTATGCCTTAGGTATACTCCACCTTTGGAAAAAAGCGCATTTTCTCCCCCTTGGTATGGGCAGCAGGATGTCATTGCTGTTACTCCTGCTGCTAATAATAATAAAAGCTGTTATTTTCTGTATAGTTCTGTGTGTGCCAGGCTTGGGATTGTACACATTTACTCTCTCACTGAATTCTTTACAGTAATGTGGTAAGAAAGTGCTGGTTCAAAGCCCTATTTCACAGATACACAGAGATCTAGAGAAGGCAAATAACTGTCTCCAGAGTAAGTGGGATTTAAGAGTAAGCTGGGATTTAAATCCAGAAGGCTTGATTCCCGAGGTCATTTTCTAAGTCTCTTGTTATTCTTCTCACTCCCAGCTCATGACTTTTAGCCTTCAATCTGCCATATGATCTCTGAGGGCTTAATTTACCTCCTGGTCTGTTTCCTCATATGTATTAGCCTGAGATCACTACTACATCCTGCTTTCAATAGTTAGTCTTTGGTAGAAGGAGTTACAATAGTTTGTTTTGTGAATTCATTACTCATTAATTTCTAGCCTGGATGTGTAGCATTGTCAATCAGATCTCTTCAAAATGGGTCACTTTTATTGATCTTTATGTGCCATTATATTTCTTGAAGGGAGAGGAGTTTTTGTTTTGTTTTGTTTTTGCATCCTTTCGGCATTTAGTTTGCAAATAAAATTCTTTGTTACTACTAGTACTTTTTTTTTAATTGGTGATCCTATTCTTGACTGTTAATAAAATTATGGTAAGGAGTGTTCTTCTTTCATACTTGCCAGTATCAGTCTAAGTTCTTTTTATTTGTTTCTCTAGTTATCATAGTGATTTTTAAAAATATGACCTAATAAAACAGAACTAGAGAGGTTTAGTAACACCACTTGCCTCAAACTTGTAATTGACAGTGGGATTGGATCCCAGATCAATCTCATGTCAAGGTTTATGTTGTTTGGCTCTCCTTGCTTCTTATGTACCCATGTGGAAAAAATCCAGTGGTACCAAAAGAGGCTAAGACTGGAATATCATTATAGGATTTTCCTGAGTCTTAGATCAGACAGAGCAGACATAACCTGTGCGGTACATTCTCATCTAGAGTCAAAGATGTATGTCCTGGGGCCAGGATAGGATGGCAGTATAAATTGTGGGAGAGAAGACTTGAGGTACAAAGTACGCAACAGGAAATCTAGTTAAGGGATGATGGAAACATCTGAGTTGATAAATATCATGTTAAGATTTCACTCTGGACAGCAGCATACTTAGAAAGTAGGGGGTAAGGAGATACTTCTATTCAGGGAACCTGAATGGAATGAAATTGGTAAAAAAAAAAAAAAATCGGTGTTATGAACTGATATTAACAGTAATGACCAGATAAACCTTTGTGGATGAGAGAGGCTCATCTGTATATCTATTAGTTCATTTCAGGTTAAGAACCACTGCAAGCTGTGTTTCCAGGTCTAAGGGGCTGGTGAGGGGAATTTGTGTTTTTCTAGGAATCTTCAGGGCAAGAGTTTGTGACATCCTCAGAAAATCTGGTGAAGTTGCAGACATAGTTAATTTGGGGTATGGGTTAAGGGGGGACATAGTAAATTCCTTTATAAAAAAGAAAACTGGTTTCTGAGATAGGGAGGCAGGAAGCTTTTGGATTGAAAAAAGTGTTAAGGGTATTTCAGAAAGCTAGGAAAAGATTTTGCTGGTATTTTTACAAGTTGGCAGACTTACTTAATTAGCTGATCTGCATTGCCAGCTCTAGAAAGAACAGATGTCTCTGTTGCACATTGTAAGGTAACATACTCTGGATCCAAACACCAAATGTTGCCCTCAGTCTGTTCTCCCAGATGATAGAATTGGGAAGGTCTGCTTGGATACTGAGTTGAAGTTTTCTATCCGTATCTCTGTACTACTGCCCTGAGACCCATGGCATTTAAGAATTGGATCATCCACAGGAGACTATCTAGACTCATGATACATGATAATTTGTCCTTTTGTTGAGACATAGATTTGACTCAAGGTTTCAAGGCTCGTGTGGGAGCTTGTCACTGAGTTTAATAAATCAGTCTAGCTATCTCTGTAGCAGCTGCTTCTCATAACTTGTGTTATCTATTGTTCCTTTCCTGAGGAGAAAATTACATAAGGCATCATTTCCCAGAACATAGTCTAGAGAAAGATGAAAGTAAAAGAAATAGCTTGGCAGTATTGTTGGGCTAAACAATGCAAGGATATTTATTCTGCCATATACTATTGTATTGGATCTGTGTAACTTTTAGGTAGTTGTTCTGAACTTTCTAGTTTTCTCATCAGCAAAACAGGATAAAAATGTTACCTGGTTCATTAGACATTGTCTAACACCTGATATGGTATCAGCACAGACCAGACACTAGTTGAATACTGGATGATTTCCCTCACAGTTAGGGGGCTTTGGGGAAGGTAGGATTGACTAGATACCTGGTTCATGTCTGCCATTAGAGTATTTGTCAGATTGCATTCTGAAGCTAAATGTGTTGTGGTATAGATCTCTATATTGATGCCTGTTCTTTACACCTGGAGAAGGGTGATGATACGGGCAAAGCTTTTCTTAGTTCACTGCATTGTCCTTAAAACCAAGCTGAGTTGCTCTCCACCTCCTCCTTCTCCTTGATGGTTGACCATCTGCTCGGCACAAGCCTGCACAGGTGCAGCCATCAGATTTGCATCTTAAAAAGGCTGCATTTATCCACGTGACTCACCTTGCTGGATATATCCATTCTAATTTTGGGTGTAAGTTGGCAGTGACATAAGCTGGAGCATATGTATATGGAGGAGAGTGGGAGTGTTCATGATACATAGAGGGTGAGGCAGAGGGTATTCCAAGCCAGAAATAAGTTGTCTCGATGAGAAACTACTATTCGTAACTCATCTGGGCTTGCATACTTGGCCATTTCCACCCCCCTACCATAATCCACTCCATTTTCAAGTTTTACTGATGGTATTTCTGGAATACTGCTCAAATTCATTTTCTCTTCGTGTCAGCCTACTCCCCAGTTTAGATTCACCATTATCTCTGTCTTGCTAGAGTTCCAAGCTAGAGTTTTGCTTTTCTTCCCCACTCATTTCAGCCTTACACATGTATTTCACTGTTCCAAAACTTTTCTTTCTCACAAAGCCCTTCCACTAGAATTTCAGAAGTCTCCTTTTGCTCTGAATGCCTTCTAGAAGCATCCCCGATATTCCTTTCCAAATGTCCTTTCAGTTTCCCCTGTATTCTCCCACAGTTTAAATTAAGGCCCAGAAAAAAAAAAAAAAGGAAGGTTCTTCAAGACTATTTCGGTGCAGAGCTGAACCTCCATGTCTCATAGGCTACATATATTATTTCATTTAAGCCTCACATTACCCTGTAAAGGCAAAATTATTTCTACTTTACAGATGAGGCAAATGAAACAGAGACAATGCTAAATGTCCAGTACACATAATGGTCTTGTCTTGCTCCTGCGTTCTAATGTTCGTTAAGGGTGTGTGCTTGGCCTGGTATTCCTCTCTCCACATTCCCCTTCTGAAAGTCTTGATTTATATCCAGTTAGAATGAATCCATCTCAGCAGCCACTTAACTTAGTTTATATTCCATTCATGAAACTTTCTACCTTATTAATTTATATGGGGTCTTTTTTTTTTTTAAGTTTGAACATGGGAAGAGCAGGGTCCTGAAAACCTTTAAGTATCTAGTACAGTATGTGATACCTAAGATGGGTGGACAGGCAAGTGGGAAAGGATGGATGAATGGGAAACATTTCCATATGTGAGGTTTGGCAGATCATCTCATGCTAACATTCAGAATTTCGTATTCCTCTGGATGATCCCTAGGCTTCCAAATAGACTAAAACCCTGGCAATAAAACAGGCTTCCACACTTTAGCTCACAGTTTTCTTTGCTTAAAAGACATTTATCTCTCTTGCCTCATATCTTTCAAGACCTGCCTTAAGAGCAGGACCACTCCTGCACAGCCTGACCCACCTCCTCTAGGTAGGAGCTATCAGTCTGGCCACTAGATTCCTGCAGCGTATCCCATGCGCCTTCCTGCTAGCTCATCACTCTTTTTCAGTGTACAAACATTTTATGTGATTTTTCTCCTAGTTTGTAGGCCATCAAATTTACTACTTATGAACTTAACCACTAGCCTTTATTCCAAGTATACTATTTGCCAAGGTCTGTACTAAGGGCTTCATATTTATCATGCTATTTAGTTCCTACAATATGTATGTAAGTATGTAAGGTAGAAACAATGATTATGTCGACCTTCCTTCCTCAATTCTTACCCACTAGGCATTGCTTGGTCTGGTTTGTTTTCTTGTATGTCACCACTGCCTGTCACATAATAGACCTAAATAAGTCCAGACTAAATGAGTGACCATACCTATTCTCCAAGTGTGCGTTGGCTGAATTAATTTATGTAGGCAGTAGAAAAGGAATGATTGTTTTCTTTGTCTCTCTAGCAGGGATTTCAGTCTCTGGAGTATGAATGCTAAGCTGTTCGGTTCTGAGCTGTACTAAGAGGACAGGAAGAGCAATGGCAGCCGCCGCTGTAGCAGCATCTCACCTGAACCTGGACGCTCTCCGAGAAGTGCTAGAATGCCCCATCTGCATGGAGTCCTTCACAGAAGAGCAGCTGCGGCCCAAGCTCCTACACTGTGGCCATACTATCTGTCGCCAGTGCCTGGAAAAGCTCCTGGCCAGCAGCATCAATGGTGTCCGCTGCCCCTTTTGCAGCAAGATCACCCGCATTACCAGCCTGACACAGCTGACAGACAACCTGACAGTGTTGAAAATCATCGACACGGCCGGACTCAGCGAGGCCGTGGGGCTGCTCATGTGCCGGGCCTGTGGCCGGCGGCTGCCCCGGCAGTTCTGCAGGAGCTGCGGTTTGGTGTTGTGCGAGCCGTGTCGGGAGGCAGAGCACCAGCCTCCGGCTCACTGCACCCTTCCCGTCAAAGAGGCTGCAGAGGAGCGGCGGAGGGACTTTGGGGAGAAGCTGACTCGCTTGCGGGAGCTCATGGGGGAGCTGCAGCGACGCAAGGTGGCCCTGGAGGGGGTCTCCAAGGACCTGCAAGCGAGGTACAAAGCCGTTCTTCAGGAGTACGGACATGAGGAGCGCCGGATCCAGGAGGAGCTCGCTCGCTCACGCAAGTTCTTCACCGGCTCCTTGGCTGAGGTGGAGAAATCCAACAGCCAAGTGGTCGAAGAGCAGAGCTACCTGCTTAACATCGCCGAGGTGCAGGCCGTGTCCCGCTGTGACTACTTCCTGGCCAAGATCAAGCAGGCCGATGTCGCACTGCTGGAGGAGACGGCTGACGAAGAGGAGCCAGAGCTCACGGCCAGCTTGCCACGGGAGCTCACCCTGCAAGATGTGGAGCTCCTCAAAGTCGGCCATGTGGGTCCCCTCCAAATCGGGCAGGCTGTGAAGAAGCCCCGGACGGTGAACATGGAAGATTCCTGGACCATGGAGGCTGCCGCAGCCCCTGCTGCCTGTACCTCCGTTACCTTCCGAGAGATGGACATGAGTCCTGAGGAAGTGGTCGCCAGCCCCCGAGCCTCACCTGCTAGACAGCGGAGTTCGGAGACAGCGGCCAGTATCCAGCAGTGCCTCTTTCTCAAGAAGATGGGCGCCAAAGGCAGCACACCGGGCATGTTTAATCTCCCGGTCAGTCTCTACGTGACCAGTCAGGGCGAGGTGCTGGTGGCTGACCGTGGCAATTACCGTATCCAGGTCTTCACCCGCAAAGGCTTTTTGAAGGAGATCCGCCGCAGCCCCAGCGGCATCGACAGCTTTGTGCTCAGCTTCCTGGGGGCCGATCTACCCAACCTCACCCCTCTCTCGGTGGCCATGAACTGTCACGGGCTGATCGGTGTCACCGACAGCTACGACAACTCCCTCAAGGTGTACACCATGGATGGACACTGCGTGGCCTGTCACAGGAGCCAGCTGAGCAAACCGTGGGGCATCACAGCCCTGCCGTCCGGCCAGTTTGTGGTCACCGACGTGGAAGGTGGGAAGCTGTGGTGTTTCACCGTGGACCGTGGAGCCGGGGTGGTCAAGTACAGCTGCCTCTGCAGTGCTGTGCGCCCCAAGTTTGTCACGTGTGATGCCGAGGGCACCGTCTACTTCACCCAGGGCCTGGGCCTGAACCTGGAAAGCCGGCAGAACGAACACCACCTGGAAGGTGGGTTTTCTATCGGCTCTGTGGGCCCCGACGGTCAGCTGGGTCGCCAGATCAGCCACTTCTTCTCCGAGAACGAGGATTTCCGCTGCATTGCTGGCATGTGCGTGGATGCCCGTGGTGACCTGATCGTGGCCGACAGTAGTCGCAAGGAAATCCTCCATTTTCCTAAAGGTGGGGGCTACAGTGTCCTGATTCGAGAGGGTCTCACCTGTCCGGTGGGCATCGCCCTCACTCCAAAGGGGCAGCTGCTGGTCTTGGACTGTTGGGATCATTGCATCAAGATATATAGCTATCATCTGAGAAGATACTCTACCCCTTAGAGAACGGGGACTACCTTGCTATTCTGCTTCCTAGCCAACTTTCCTTCCCTTAGTCCTTGGTTGTCTGTGGTAACAGTAGAGTAGACTGGGCCTGGGTCCCGATTTCCAGGCAGGTTATCCTAGATTCTTAGAAGCTCTAGTTTTTAGTGGATGTTCTTACTATTATTATGATGAGTATTATTATTTGTTTTTCCCCTCTTTTCCTACTCCTCCACTGTAGAGCTTTAACAGGTATTAGCTGAAGTCTGATTAGAAACTAGGCAGGTCCAATCAAGGCTCTTGTAGAGAAAGCTATTTTAGACCTTTGCCCCTGTGTTTGATATTTACCTATATTGAATTCTTATCAATCTCCTCTGGCTTTGATGTCCCGGGCCCATCGTTTCTTCCCCGTTACAATGTACTTCAACTGTGATCCTTTCTCTTCATCTCTGGCTGTATTCTGTGCGCATGCTCCAGTGGGGTCTGCTCCACACCAGTGACGTTCCAGCCCTCCCATGCCTGTAGCATGATGTCTCAGGTGTGATCACCTTTACAATGTGAGAGCGTATTCATTCAGTGCCACCAAGAGAAATGCCCGGGACCCTTAGGGAAATGATACCCCTTGGCTGAAAGATCTGTGCCATCCCTCATTACAGATGTGCCAGAGAATGGATTGATTTTAGCTATTAGTGTTGAAGACTTCAGCCTGCTTTGTAAAGGAGCTCACGGGGTTAGAAGTGTGCCACAACGTAGACACAAAAAAGCAAACAGAAATACTGATGTCGCCAGCAAACTTGGTAGGCTCTAGGGTGCAGCACTGGTTCTGCTCTTCCCACTGACCTAAGTCCAGTTGCCTGAGAAATTGTACAACACCTACCAGAGCTAACAAAATGGGAACGTAGACACATCTGCTTTCATTACGAAAACAATGAACTGTTGGGTAGTTAGTATTTTCCTCACGTGAGTGCACACTGTTTGACTTCGGGATTTTATTTCTGTTCTTCTATCAAGCATTAAATAATTGATAACTTTCTTCATCACTGGTGGTCATGTCTTAATTAAATGTGGGATTTGGGAGGTGAGAAGAGGAATAGCTTTCACTTTATCATTTCGCTTCTTTCTCTGACAGTTACCATTCTTTGAGAGCAAGTAGGGATCTATTTGTGTTAAAATGCAGCCAAAATACCATTATATAAAGGTGAGACAGATCTTACCCCCACATTCAAGTAAATAGAGCCAGCCCTGAGGTTTAGAGTCACCAAGACCTATTCAAAATTGGGCCTCCAACGTATGTTTAATTGTTCATGGAACAATTCAAACACGGAAGGTTGTCTTGTACATTTGACACCAAATGTAAGTGAGAATATTTGTGAGTGGATTCCACAGGCTCTGGTGTTTACTAAGCAGTGTATCTTAACTCTTTAGGTATAGCAGTGTTAGCAAACCGAAGAGCTAGTCCCTTCCTTTTACAGAAACAAGATCTCTTAACTAATCCACTCAAAATTGCTTTTTGGTGACAGAGTCGGGTCCATTTGTTTGTTTCCCCCTTTGGCTTTCCCTATTCACTACAGAATAGGGAAAGAGGTAATTAAAGTCAGGGTGAAGTAGTATGTCCTTTGCTTATCATCTGAAGAAGGCTCTATGTTCTGATTATGAAACTGTACCTGATATTTGAAATTGTAATTGAGAGGAAATTGATCCAATTAAAACTGCATCACCAATGCCTCCACGAGTTTTGAGGAGTTTTATCTGTCTTTGCTGTCAATGGGGGAGCTGTGCAGGCAGTAACAGCAACCAAGGCCCTTGTCACATGGCTTGTGGTACAGAAATGAATATGATGATGTTGATTGGTTTGAGGTAAACAAGGCCAGGAATCCTCCAGCTGCTTGTGCTTTGGGAAACAAATGCTGTCACTGATTGGCCTTCAGCATTTAGATCTCTCTCCATTTATAATCTGCAGTCCTGTCTGTAAAGTGGGTATCTGCTGACTGAAAGTGTGGTTTATATGGTTTTGATGTTCTTTTCCTTTAGATGTACATATTTTAGGCTCTGCTTTGTACTGTCCGTTTTCAACTATTTGCCATGCTGACTGAATTAGAGTCTGGCTTCCAAGAAACTACTTTGTTCAATGATGCCACCATGGCTAGATTTTTGTTTTATAAAGCAGCAGTGCCCTATAAGTGCATATAAAGTCTTATATGCAAATCTATCATGTATAAAATAGATCAGAGAACAACCACTTCCATTGAAGCAGCTTTTTTTTGGGGGGGGGCTTTCCTCACTCTACTTCCTAGTCTACCATTTGTGTCTCTATAGAACACTTTCTGAAAAACCACACAGCGACGGTTTTGCTAACATCCCAGTCCCATCTTCTTAGCCTGGACAAGAAAGTCACTTCACTTCCTATTCTAGAAAATGTCAGCACTGCCCCCTGCCTTCAGGAAGGGTTTGAGAAAATGTAAAAATACCTGGCTTAGTTCCTGGGATGCCTAGTAAATCATGTCTATTAGTAACTTCTCTTATTGAGTTACAAAGAAGGTTTCCCGGTGGTCCAACCTTGCTAAAGAGTACCTTCCTTCTTGCCTACCTTCTTGATGAAGTAGTTTCTTTTTGACAAAACCTTTCTTAGCCAGTCTCCGAATATATCTCTTCATCTGTTTCCTTCTTCTAGCTAGCTATTTTAGGTTTTTAGTATTTATAAGTCACTGCTACTGTTTCTTACTTGTCTGAGCTTTATTAAGGGATAGTAAGCTATACCAGCATGTAACAGTATTTAATGTCAAGTATGTTCTCTTATTTAATTTACTTAGTAATCTCCCAGACTTGATAGTGACTCCAGTAATCCTGAGGCTTACACTGGACAAAACAGAGGTTCTCAGACAAATCCTTGTAGAGATGTCTGAGAAAAGCTAGTGGCAAACAAGTTAGATCCCTGTCCTCCTCGAAATCCCTCCTCTCTTCCCCCCCCCCCCGTTGTCTGTAATTACTCTAATTGTAGAGCACATTGAAGCACTGATTAGTTCCACTTTTATTGAGCACCTAGTGTAGTAGTAGAGGCACTCAGCTAGTAAACAAAGTAAGTTATTCCTCAGTGTTGTCTAAGTGTTTGAAATCTAGTATCCTGTCACTTTGGACTTCTTTGTGAGGGTCACTGCCGATAAACAGTTCAGTCTGCAAGAGGGTTCTCCATTGTTCAACTCAGCAGATTCAACTGGGCTCAAGTTGAACAGTATTTCTGTGGGTGGGACATGTGATGCTTACGTAGTTGCACATTTTGCTTTATACCAGTTAACAGCCTTTTAAAAGCAAAGTGCTACCCAAACTCTAGACAGGGAAATGGAAGGCAGAGCCTAATATGAGACTCTCTTCTCTGCCCCTCATCTGAGTAGGATGCTGATTTGCACTCAGGATGTGCATCCTTTCAAAGGACCTCACCACAATTGACAGATGTGAAACAGCAGGTGCTTGGGATAAATTTTATAAGCAGGGGATCGGTAGGGTCAAAAGCTGTTTTGCAAAATGCTCATTGCAGGCTTTACCTTGTCAATATCATTAATATTTATGGCACCCCATCTTAGCTGTGAAGTTGGTGAGGGAGTTCTGGGGTCTGACAGTGTATTCTAGTTGACAGCTCACTGGACTCTAGAGTCGTGTCTCAGTCACAGCTCTTCTTCCTAACTTTCTAGCACCAGTTTCTCTACATGTAAAATAAGGAAATTGAACCAGATCCATAAAACTCATAGCTCAATGATTTTTGTTTGTTTTTGTGCTGGTACTGGGACTTGAACTCAGTTCCTGGTAGCATTCCCTGAACTTTTTTGCTTAAGAAGCTGGCTCTCTACCACTTGAGCCACAGCTCTGCTTCCAGCTTTTTTGGTGGTTAATAGGAAATCAGTCTCATGGACTGTCCCACTTGGACCCAGTCTCCTGAGTAGCTTGGATTGTAGGTGTGAGCCATAACTAGGCTAGCTCTATGATTTTAATTATCTTTTAAACCAGTGCAAATTATGGTTGAGATTTCATTCGTTGTTTTTACATGCTACTTGTTATTTAATTGTGTGTGTATTTGAGAGGTAGGGAGAAAGTCCTGCACTTTGGAATTGGCCAACCTTAGTCCAGTGACTTCTCTCCTCCAGCTAATAAGACCTTATCTCACTATTAGCAAATTATTACCCTGCTGCACTCTACTTTCCCTTTCTGATAAAAGGAGATGACAGTTTACATTGTAAAGGGCAGTGGTTATGAAGAGAAAAGATACGAATGGTGTTGGTATATGTAAAATACCTAATTAAGGACGTAAGACTTTCATTGTAAGGAGGAAAGGCTTCCTTCCCTTAGTCAAGTGGATACACGATCTTCAGGTACATGCTAGAGGTGATTTCACGCCTGTGTTGACAGTGCACCAGTGCTTTCTAGCACTGTCTGGCTTCTTAATTAAAAAGCTTATTGGAGGAAAAGTGAGATCTCCAGAGGGAAGCAAAACTCATTTATTGCAATGTGTCCTGTGAGGAAAGCTACACCTTAATCCTAAAGCCTAATTATTTGATTAAGGCAATTAAGATAGCAGCTTGGCTTTTTGAGAATTTAATGAAATTTGAATTTTGAAAAGATTATATATATATATATATAATTGTATGTGGAAATAATATGTAGAGATAAAAAACATTTAATTTAGAAACATGCATGTTTATCTCAAAGATGACTAGCCTAAAAGGTTATTTTCCCCCTCCACATCAACCTTCACGAACTCAAATAACTACAAAAATAATCCTTTGTAATATAATGATTCCGTTTCACATTCTATGGTGAAGAAATGATAGGTATAAAACATTTAGCAAGCTATGAAGCACTTCGGAAACATTTTTTTGGAACAAGTATGGTATAAAATGAGTAAGGAAAATTAGTAAGTTACCAACATTCTGTCCAAAATCATGGAATGGTCTGTGTTATGTTAAGTATATATTTTTCCTATATAGGTAAATGCTAGGTTTTCCCTCTGGCAATTTATCCAGTGTACTAAGTTAAAACTGTAATGACATTGCATATCTTCACAGAGTAATGAGGTTCTATTTATTTACTTGCTTGTTAAACACATATAGGACATCTACTGTTTACTAATATAGTATTTACATGATTAATGGATGCCACACTAAGTCAGTTACCAAGATACATAAACAAATGATACACATGGTTGGAGGGAGTAAGAAATAGTGCAATATAGAAATGGAGTGTTTGTGCAAAGACTATTTTTGGTTGAGAGGATCTAACTGTTAAAGGACCTTGAAAAGGGGAATATCATGAGCAAAAGGGTAACACTGAAGAGCAGGATGAGAAACTGGAACCAGCAAGTTAAAATCATGCCAGAGTGAAGAAACTAAGAAGAAATGCAAAAGTCTAAAGAGTTCCATTTGTCCATGTTCTATAAGTAATAATTCATGCCCAAGGCCATATCATTCCTTACTGGCTATGACCCAGTAAGGCCTCATTCTTGGGTGTAGGACATGGATCAGAATCTCCTTGGAGCTGGTATTGTTGGAAGGCAAAAGCATAGTTTGAAAATATATCCTCTCAATTTTCTGATCTATCTCCATACTTGGAATCACTGGCATTGGCTTATAATTAATAATTATCAATAAGTAAATTTTCCTCAGAAGCCTAAGCCAAATGAGTCTTAAAATACCTACATCACTCCAGAGTGACTTAACTCATTTTCAGATGTTTGCTGACAGCTTTTAAAACTCATCATGGTTGCTTTATATAAGGAACTATTTATTATAAAGAAAGGATGGCAAGAAAGCTCAATGTTTCCACCTTTGGTACCAACAGGAAGTTCGGATCAGGTAAATCACAGCCCACACAGGAGTGTCCTCAATCCTGCTTTACCTCTGGGCCACTGTGAAAAGCCAGGCTGGTCTCTTACCTGCTTAGGATTCCACACTGCTCTCCCTACAAAGCTTCAGTGTGGGAGGAGTCATGAATCTCCATCTCAACCAAATTCTAGGTGGAGGTCTTAACTCTGAGATGACTGGAAAGGCAG